GGAACTCTAGGAACCAGAGAGTGGCTGTACTCCAAGAAGGCCATGCTAGACCGGGATCTAGAAGAGGGGGAAGAAGGGAAATGGCCTGAAGACTGTCCTTCCAAGCATGACCAGGGCAGCTGCTATGAGGACAGGGAAGAGCAACTAGTAGAGCATTCACCTTCAGTGACAGCCCCTACTGCATTCCCTTGCAACGTTTCCTGGGTCTGACATCCCAACTCTGACTTCCCATGTTGATAGTGGCTCATTATGGCAAAATGCCAGTCTTCCTGAAGATACAGGGCTCTCTACTGCAGCAGCTTGGAGTCCCCACGGGGACTCCTTGTCCTCATCCAGGGCAAGGCAAGCTTAGTCAGGTTTGGTGCTCAGAAAAGGTCCATCCTTCAAGGGGCATGGGAGGGAAAAACCCTCACTGAACCAGGAAATACATACCATCTCAGCACTTAGATGGGTCCTATTTTAAGCCAAGATCAGTATAATTAAAATGATAAGAAAATAAGACCAAAGGATACCATCCTTAATTAGGAGCAAGATTAGAAGGAAGAAACTCTGGTATAGCTTATTTTAAAAGCACAATCCTGAAGTGAGACCAAAAAAAAAAAAAAGAGAGAATAATTAAAATGAAGGTATCATTATTATTTTTTAAAAAGGTCTCAGTGGACGGAGGGGTCTGACTGGCAGATAAGACACATGAAGGGCATGTGCTCTTTCTCAGGGTGACTGTTCTGAAGGTGACTATACAGGAAGCCCTGGTCTCTGGGACCTCTTTTCCACCTCCCTGGAGCCTTTCCAAGATGGGAGAACAGTAAAAATACCAGGGCACTGGGGTCTGTGGACAAGGAACCCTACCCCTGGGTACATTCACATCCATCACAAGAAGTGGTTAAATCTCGTAAAAACTCCTTTGACACGCGGGCGGTGGGGTTACTCCATTATTTTCATCATCATTATGGCTGCTGTTGTTAATGTTTGTCCAGCGCCAACATCGTACTTAATATAACACAGAGCATAAAGGAAGATGCAGCTCCCCTACTGGATTCACACTGCATGGGGGGGGGGGGGTAACCAGCCTTCAGCAACACAGGAACACTCCACCCTCCCTCCACCCTCTAACACTGTTTCTTCGTTTTCCCTGAGCAACTTCAGGTCTTCCTGGAATCTGCTGGGTGCTCTGGGGCCCTTTCTGGGTTGCTTGGCCCTACACTCGCCCCTGTGGCCAAAGTCAGGGCTCAAAGAACAGGGCTGAGGATGGAAGCAGACGTAGGCAGCCAGGACTGAGACAGAGCTAGAGCAGGCAGGGAGCATGGAGGAGAGAAAGCACCGTCTTTTCTCACGACCAGCGTGAGTCAGGCAGACTGCTTCTCTCCTCTTTTCTCTTACCACTTCATTCTGCAATCATGCACTTTACAAATCCTCGCATACACTTTAAAAATCAAGACCCACACCACAGTAAATTTTACCTGTGCAAGTCTTTAGAACACGAAAGCATTGACAAGTGTCCACGGCCATCTAAGAAATGTATAAATATTATATACACATCAGTCCCTCAAGCAAAAGCCCCACTTCCCACTGCCAAATGTTTTTTACAGCAGTTCTGCCAGATGAGTGAAGGCATATATTTCACCAGTGAGCCACTTTTTATAGAGTGAAAAAAAAAGCCCCAAACACTTTTATTGCGTTTTAACCAACAGAATTTCTGAATGCAAATGAATGAATCACCTTTGTAATGATTGGCTGCCTGAGTTTCCTTGTCACACAGAGAACAGGTTCAGTGGATGTGACTTGTATCCTCAAGAGTCCAGGGAAAGATAAAAGACTGACATTGCTACCAGTGAATTATGAGATTTGTCTTTATCAGTGAAAATCAGGTCATAACTGAGTCCAGCCATCGCCTATTATATGTGTGCTCCATCTACTTTTCTGTATAATGTGATCCAAGTGCGCCAGGGTGAGCTAGAGTAGCCCAGTGTATAAATTAGCCATTTTGTAAAGCTGTATTAAGTCTTTAAGGCCACCAGGGTACCTTTTAATGCATTGATGCCACTCTTCAATAGACACTGGTCTTCTTTTCTTCTGACCGACATTTCAATGACAATCTTGTGAAAAGAGGTAGCTTAGAAGGACTCTCCTGCGTATATTTGAAACTAGAGAGAAAAAATAATACGTTGAACCACAGCTGGATCCCAATTGAAAGTTAACCAATTGTGGAACCGAGTTCCTCATAACTATTTCTAAAGAGAACAATTAACCAGATAGTTAATTAATTCAGCATTCATTTCTGGAGCAGTTTCTCTACGTAAGGTGCTGGCAGACCTCTGAAGTCTGTCTGGCTCTTCCAAAAACTGAAAAGAGTAGACGTATTTTACATTATAGAAGTTCTTCAAGAGGAGAAGAATGATGAAGGAGACCATGGGTATTTTCTAAAACACTGTTTTAGAAACAGTTTTAGAAACTTGTTTTAGTGTGTAAAACAAGCTGACACTAAATCCTATGAAAAATGATGTTTTTGATGTGTAGGATTGAAAAAAATAAAAGATTCTGAAAATGGTATCTTTTCTACATAGCCTCTAGCCTGGAATTTGCATACTCGGTTTCCTTGCAACTACTTCTGCAAACACAAGTGCATCCTCTCACTGCCACAACAGAGTGGGCTAGATTCACTCAATAAATTCTTCTCTTCCACAATAGCAGCAAAGGTTGGGCAGCCCAGCAGTGGGCCAGGGGCTGCAGGGAGACAGAGATAAAACAGACACAGGTCTCTATCCTCAAGGAGCTCACAAATCATTCACTGAATAAATAATTATTGAGCATCTGCTATACATAACTGCTCTATTTGGCTAGCTGTGCTTTTCGGACACAATCAAACTCACGGAGAAGTACAACTGAGAGCCTTTATGTTTAATATACAAAGAACCTCATTCATTCATTCATTCATTCATTCAACACATTCTTACTGAAAATCTAACATGTGCCAGACATTGTTCTAAGCACTGTGAACAAAACAAAGTTCCTGTCCTTGTGGAGCTCACACCCAATGGGAGAGACAGATAAAATACCAGCACATACATACATATACTCATATATTTTACACATATGCGTTTATAAGGAGATGAGTATAATATAGTGGATCCTGGATCCCAGCTGCCTTGCTTCAGGCCTACCTCTGTCAATAACTAGCTGTACAACCTTAGGGAAGTTATTTACCATCTGATGTCTCAGTTTTCTCATCTGTAAAATGGAGATAATAATAACAATACCTAATTCACAAGATTGCTATTAAGATCAATTATCAATATATGTGAAGTACAGTATGTCAGGCACATAGTATTATATGTATATGCCATTAATATAAAATCCCTACTTATCAGGTAGAGATAAATGACAAATTGAAAATAAAGACATAGAGATGATGAGGGTGCTATTTTAAATTGGGCGGTGGGGGAAAGCATCTCCAAAGGAAGGAACATTTGAATTGAGACCTGAATGAGGTGAGGGTGCAGGCCATGTCTGTTACCAGGGAAAAGCATTTCAAACAGAGAATGGCAAGTGCAAAATCCCTGCAGTAGGACGATGCTTGGGGTGACAAGGAGCAGTAAGATGCTAAGAATAGCTAAAGAGAAGGGAGAAAAAGGGCAGGAAATGAGGCTGGAGAGGTGGTCCTGTGGTTCCTGTGGGCCACAGTAGGGGTCTTGGATATTATTCTAAAACTAACAAGAAGTCAGCGGAGGATTCTGAGCAAGGGAGTGACAAAATCTTTTAAAATCTTCTATGAATGGAGGTCCCTCAAAAAATTAAAAATCCTGGGGGCCGGCCGAGTGGTGCGTTGGTTAAGAACTGGCTTAGGATGCCAGAGAGCCCCGGTTCGGATCCCACATATGAGGGCCAGTGACACTGCCCTCTACAGCTAAGATGCTGAACAGCAGCTCGACCTGGAGCTGGGCTGCCGGGGGTCGCCGGGGACGGCGTAGGCTACAGTCCCCTGCTGCAGTGGGTTGCCGTGGGCTACCGTGTGTATCCGGCAAGCCAGCGGTGAGTGGCCAGCAGCCAGCGTGAGCGGCCATCCAGAGGCTGGCGACTGATCTGCCTCACCCGGGAAGAGCACAATGATGGTGCCAGCTTGGGCCAGTGAAGCCACGTCCTCCACAACTAGACTGAAGAACAAAACGACAGCAACTTGTCTGTTCCCCTTCCCCCGATTTCCCAGCGCTGTTCCCCTCCCCCAATTCCCCAATAAAATCTTTAAAAAAAAAAAATTAAAAATCCTGGGTACTAGACTTATTAGGGTGATCGCGTCATAAGTTATATAAATGTCCAATCACTATGTTGTACACCTGAAACTAATGTAATATTGTATGTCAAACTAATTAAAAATTGTTTTTACTCTTTTTTTTAATTAAAGTTTTTTGGGCTGATGATTGTTAGTAAAGTTAATAGGTTTCAGGTGTACAGTTCTGCAATACATCATCTCTATATTGCATTGTGTGTTCACCACCTAGAGTCAGTTCTCCTTTCTTGACCATATATTTGATCCCTTTTACCTTCATCTAATTAAAATTTTTTTAATTTTTAATTAAAAATAGAATTACCACATGATTCAGCAAGTATACTTCTGGGTATATATCTAAAAGAATTGAAAGCAGAGTTTCAAAGAGATATCTGTATGCCTGTGTTCGGAGCAGCATTATTCACAATAAATAGCCCAAAGGTAGAAGCAAGCCAAAGAAGGAAATTCTGACACATGCTACAACATGGATGAACCTTGAGGACTTTATGGTAAGTGGAATAAACCAGTCACAAAAAGATAAGAACTGCACTAGTCCACTTACATGAGGTACCTAGAAGAGTCAAATTCATGGAAACAGAAAGAACAGTGGTTGCCAGGGACTGGAAGGAAGAGGAAATAGGGAGTTGTTTCAGTTTTTCAAGATGAAAAGAGTTGTGGAGACGGGTTGCACAACAATGTAAGTGTGCTTAACACTGCTGAACTGTACACTTAAAAATGGTTAGGATGATGAAGTTTATGTTATGTGTATTTTACCACAATTTAAAACAAAATTTTTCGTGTGGAAAATAGACTGGTGGCAAGTCAAGACTGGGAGCAAGGGAGACCCCTAGGTGTTCCAGTTATCTATTGTACATAACAAACCAACTTAAAACTTAGTGGCTGAAAGCAATAACCATTTCATTCTCTCTCACGATTCCGTGAGTCAACCGGGCTCAGCTGGACAGTTCTTCCGCTCCAGGAGATTAATTTGGGCTGCAGTCCTATGGGGCTACAATTGGCTGAAATGTCCATGACGCTCACTTACAGATGTCTGGCACCTCTGTGGGACAGTGAAAAAGCTGGGTTCAGGTGGGACACTGGCTGCGGGGCCTCTCTCTTTCTCACTCCATGCAGTCCTGGGGCCTCTCCCTCTTCACATGGCCTCCCACGCGGTCTCTTCACTGAGTCTTTCCAGCAAAGTAGCTGAATTTCTTATAGGTTGCACAGGGCTCTCCGAAGTACAAAAGCCTTCTTGACACTTAGGCCAGAGATGCACAGAATGACATCTTCGACATTCTATTGATTAAAATGAGTCACAGACCAACTAAGGTTCAATGTTGTAGACCCACATGACTCCAGGAGGCCTGGTTCATTGGAGACCATCTTTGGAGAGTAGCCCTATAGGATTGCTGCAGCAATCCAAGTGAGAAAAAAACAAAAGCTTAAGCCAAAATAACAGCAGTGGAGGTGATGAGAAATGATTGATCTGGAATATATTTTGCAGGTAAATTCAGTAAGGTTTGCTGATGGCTTAGATGTAGGGTAAGAGAAAAAAAGGAATCATGGATGAATCTAAATTTTTGGCCAAGGCAACTGAGTGAAGGGTAGTATCATTAATCAGTCAGCAAAGTGTCAGCAAGAGCAGTGGGCTGGGAGCTTTGGGGTCAAATCCTGCCTCTTTTGTTTGTTACCATATTGTCTTGGTAACTCAGTCTCTCTGGGCTTCTACTTCCTGATCTGGAAGATGTAGGTAATAATACCTGCTCGCCCTATCTTGTAAGGTCATCATAGGATCACATGAAATCTTGTATGTAAAAGAAGTTGCCTTGAGTTTATTACAAATGCAGTAGTGGCCATAGGAAAACCACACACCTTGAAATCAGGAAGTCTGGTTCCAGTCTCAGGTCCATCTTAAACTTGCTGTAAGAACCTGGGCAAGTCATTTAACCTCGCTTTATCTTATAAATCAGATAAATCGCTTTATCTGATTTTCTTATAAAATCAGGCCATAAGATCTGCACTGCCTGTGCCAAAAGCATTTTTTTTGTAAGAATCAATCACAAGAACATGTAAAGCATTTTTGAAAAGGCATAAAATAGTAAATAGAAGGTATTATTATTGCATCCCTAATTACAGATCTAATATCTAGGCTTGGGTAAAAAAAAACAAACCAGCAACAATGATAGGGTAGAGTCTATAAAATCCCCTCTTTCTCATGTGACCCAGGGGTTCCAGGCTTGGCTTAAGGAACAGCCAGGGAAGAATACCATTCAGAGCTGCTGTAAAACACAACCCATAATTGCAAGTCAATCATACACATGGCAACAGAGTTAGTGAGTTATGCATAATAATGGAATACAGATAACAAGCTTATATTTGTAGCAACTTTGACTCTGAGACAAACTGTTTTGTTACTTGATTTTTTTTTAATGCACTAGAAAACTAAAAGGTGAAAGCAGTAGGTCACATCATGGAAGCAATGAAACAGCAGGTGCTGAGGGAAGAAAGGCCCAAACAAACATCTCTCTTTAAAGGCAAGTGTGTGACATCTGGGGCCAAGCCAGGTTCTGGAACCCAGAGCAAGGACATTAGGACAAGAATTCCAATGTCCCCAGTGGCCACAAAGAGCCTCTGGGTTTTAAGGTCTAATCTGAAAGAAACACACACACACACACACACACACACACACACTAAACAGCCTGGTATTCAATTTACTCTATGCAGAAGAATAAAAAGACTGAGTCAATGCTGCAAGGATATGAACTTGAGTTCTAAGGGAGTCTATTTGGATGGTTTAAACACTAACCGGGCCCCTTCAGGCAGGGGAGCACATCTATACTGAAAGACATGGAAAGCAGTCATCACCTCTTAAAAAGAGTGTTACTGTTTTCATTATCATTTAAGGCTGTAGTCAGTGTTGAATGATAATAAGAAACAGGCATGGGGAAAAAATGCACCCAAATCACAGGCGTACACAATAAAAATGCTATTATAGACTTTTGTGAATATAAATAGTTTTTAAAATGAGGCTGCTAAGACTGGCATCTTAGACGCTACCTGAAAAAGAGTCATGTTTATATATTCCAACAGTTGCATCAGTCACCAGACTCAGCTTTCTAGAACAAAATGGACTGGGTAATTTTGGGGGAATAAATATCAATGCGGACTAGTATGGGGCAAAGAAGGGAGATGCAGATGGAAGTGGAGAGAGCACAAAGGACAGAGAAAAGGCACTTGATGCCTAACAGGGGGACACTGAAGGGGACAAAGGAATAGGAAGAATAAAAAGGAATAAGGCTGGGCTTACTCAGAATCCTGTTAAATAATGCACCCTCAGTTGTACCTAAGCACAGGCGGCACTTGGTAATTTTTGTGTTTGCATTTAGCAACAATCCCATATAGTTGGGATACCAATTTCTTTGCTTCCCCCCATTCTAGTGAATTAATGTATATTCAGCAGAAACATAATAATGTCACTGCTTGCATTTCTTTTAACAGTTACCCCATATACACATAAGCTCATAACCTTCAAGAGGGACTAGTTGAAAGTGGGTGGGGACATGGGAACTCCACTGTTAAGGTCAAAGCTCAATGTGAGCAATATAAAGTAAGCATAAGGAAGGACTTTGATGGTGGGAGGGGTGAACCCTGGAAGCACAGTCAAAAGAGCTTGTTGAATTTCAGAGGTGTGCAGCTTCCCAAAGATGGAGATAGAAACTAGAATAACTACTGCACATCTTTCAAATAATTCAAGCATAAAACACTTACGCAAGCAGGCAAGGATGTGTGGTAAGTGGTCTGCTGTGTCTGAGACTATGACTGACCACCAGCTGAAGGAGGCATGGAGGGCTTACAGGTCTACCAAGTGAGTGTCAGCATCCACAATAGGTCCTGTCCACTTACTGATGTTGAACACATGGGGTGTGAGGAAACAGGTGGCCATGTGCAGGTAGAAACCACCATCAAGCAGTTGAGGAGGCAGGACTGAAGCTGTGTCACTGCATCAGGCCCCATCGGGGCCTCAAAGCAGGACTCAAGTCACTCTGCTCTTCTTACCATCTCCCAGGGGAGCTCCCCCCACACTTGGCTCTTTCAGCCCATGGTACCATTGTGGTCCTAGCTTCCAGCCTGAACCAAGAGTCATCCCTCCACCATGCTGTTCTGCTCCTCTTCCTCCCCGCTTCATTAGTCTATCTGCCCCCAAGTCCTTTAAGTTCCCAATCTATCCCTTCTTTTCAAGCCCTTTTGCCTCTCACAGTTAAGCCATTTTTCCTCTATGGGAACTTCCCTCCCAGTGTCCTCTTCCTCCAAACCATCTTGATGTCACCTCTAGATTGATCTTCCAATATTCTTCTTGGATCATACCATTCCTCGGCTCAAAAACTTTCCAGGGTTCCCTACTACCTGTGCAATAAAGCCGAGAGTTGGTTATGCTGTCATGTTAAGATCCTCCACTGTCCTGCTGCCTTTAAACTTTCTGACCTAACTTTCTGTTATGGGCAAAGCCATATCCTGTTTTCCCACTGCCACGAGTCGTCTTGGTGTTTCACCTTCTGCTCTGCTTAGACTTAGTTCAGCCACTACCTCCATTGCTTGGCCACCCCCTGGCCTGACATAATAGTTCTCTTCCCGGAAGGTACAGACAGTATGTGTAGAGTCTCTAAGTGCATTTGGCCATACACTTCCAAATACACCTTCGTTTGGCAAATCATGGCTCATTGCCTGTGGCATCTCATTTGTGTTGCATAATATTGCGCTGTTATTTAATGTTACGCCTCTTTGTGTCTCCACTGACTTATCAGACTGAAAGCTCCGTGGTCTGCAAGCACCATCCATGTCTTCATTTTTTTTTATGTGCCCTAGCCTGGTGCTCTGAACAGAGCAGGCGCTCATTAAATACTTACCAATTTAGGAGGGGAAAACCTTAAGAACATCCTTCTCCATGGAGGTCTTGAAAATCAGCAATCTGTTCTGGAAATTACAGAAAAGAGCTGCCTTCCCAAAAGGCTCCAGCCCCAGTTGAGGCAATACTCCCGACGACCCACTTCCTCTCACCTCTAAGGCTCAACTTAAATTAAAAATTCAAGAGCTTCACTAGAAACCCCCGCCAGGAGTCAACGCAGATCCCAGATTCTGTAGAGGTCCCCAGTTCTAACCCAATAATGATGAGGCTAATTTCGGTTCATGACATAGTAATCCGTTGGTGTCAGGAGGACAAGCTCTGGCCCCAGTGGAGTGAAAGCACGTTTGCGTCCCTGTGAGTGTACACATGCCCACCTGCACACAAACGCAGACAACATAATCATCCTCAGCAGAATTTTGAAACTTCGTTCCCAAATAGCCTGTGGAATTGAATTTCTGATATCTGAGTGCATATGTGGATATGCATTTTCCATTACTTGTTTAGGCAGACTATAAAACATCACTGTAGAGGAGTCACCAATTTATGAACTGGTTGCATGCTTCAGGTTCATTTGTTGGCTATTTGGAACTTAGAATGCATTTTTCCCGGGAAGCAAGAGTGCGCACAAGCCCGCTTAACCCATAATGTACTGCATTATAATGCCACGAAGCAATTTTTATTCTATTCACCAGGGGTTTGCAAACTCAAATGCCTCTAGTGTCCTGGTGGACAATGTAAATGAAGAGAGTCAGACCAGCAAAATGCAGAATGATACGGACTGTGCTGCGCATGCCCCATCCTAAAGGAGCAGCCACTTCCCAGCTCCAGCGAATGGCTGCCATGAGAGAATGCAGGCCCAATGCGGCAGATCAGGAGAAGCCAAAAATCAAAATTTTATGTGAAAGTAGTTGGCAACTAATTTGAAAAAATTTTATACACGGTGCAGATGAAGCATCAGTGGGCTGAAAATGGCCTAGGCTTGCAGCCTCTACTCAATAATGGTGCTTCTTTGGGAAAAAAGCACTATCTTTTCCACAAGTCAATACCTGGAAGTGTTTCCGCTCTTCTGGAGAGATGGGTGGCTCTTCCTGGGCACTAGTCCCACCCAAGTTAAGGCTGCCCCTTGCATGAGAGAAGACTAATGTGTCTGGGGTTCTGTCTAAGAACCCAAGGCTGATGATGCAAGGCCCCCGGCCTAGATCTAAGCCTCTGGCCTGGCCCCATTGCTAAGTTTGAGGATCTGACCTTTCTACTTCGTTCTGACGTGACAGGGTCACTTGTTAATAGAGTATATGTAAGTTAGGACCTGCCCTTGTTTTGCTTTTGTTGTGGTAGTTATTATCGCTCTATTATTTTGTCTGTTTGTTTTTTTTCTAACTATAGATGTTACATAGGTTCACTACAGAAAATGTGGAAGTTTTTCCCTCCTAGAAGTAATCACTATTAATAATGATTTATTTTTTTCAATCTTTTCCTTTCTAACTGTTTTCATATTACACAAGTGTA